GCGGGCTCGCAGCAGCGGCTCTCGCAGCCCCTTCCCCTCCACACTTCCTCCTCAAGGGCAGGCGCAGAAGTTTTTCAACAAACCCGAAACCGCTCTGCTCTCGAGTTCCTTCTCCCGGCTCCTGCGCGGGCGTGAGGCAGCTCTGAAAGCAGAAGGGCTTTGCTCCGGCTGGTGCCCCCCTCCCATGACCCCAGGCTGGGCGCTGCTTCTTCCACAAAGGACTTCCCCCACACCAGTAACCACTTCTTTCTAACCTCTTTCTAATCCTCCAAAACCCACCATGTGCAAACTTGCTTCTGCCCCTTCCCCTTGCAGATCATTTCTCGCTGTGACATCATGTTGCTGATGGAAATAAAGGAGAACAAGAACCGGGTTTGTCCTCTGCTGGTGGAGCAGCTCACCAGGTAGGGTGGCCATGGGCAAGTTGGCCAATATTGGGATAGATGCTTGGCAAGAGCCCGTGCTCTGCTCAGCACCGCCTTACCGGGGCGAAAGCTCAGGATCTGGGCTCTGTCCCAGCCGCCAAGGCAGGACCAGGCTCTGGCAGCCTCGCTGAAGGCCAGGGGCAAAGCCATCCCCAGACCACTGTAGGACACGTATTTTTAGATCAAAATAACCAAGTCGGATTCAATTTGTTGAAGATGATTAATTCTCAGAGGAAAACAGAAGGGAGGGAAGGCCCTCGCCTGGCTAGCGCTGGGCTGTGGCCGGGCAGCTGCCTTTCTGCAGGGTTAGGAATTGCTTTCGACCGGGGATTGCCTGCCTGGCCTGACAGTCCGGAGGGAAGAGCAGCGTACGCCTGGCTGGACGTGAGACCCAGCTGAAAGGAGGCAGAGGCTGCAATAAGGGGGTGGAGGGAAAAAGCCATCGATGGAGCACAGGTCCAGACCACGGGTGCAGAGAAGGGTTTATTGTCTCTACCACCTACCTCTGAGGTCAGGCAGGCAACGTCCCGTACCCTTGGGCACAGGCAAAATTATCTCCTCCTCAGCCCCTCGTGAATGCAGAAATAAACTCACCACTTTCCTTCCAGTCAGCTGAAGGGGCCAAAGGAGGAATACAGCTGCGTGGCCAGCGAGAGGCGGGGAAGGAGGAGCTACAAGGAGCAGTACGCCTTCGTCTACAGGTGAGCGAGCTCCCCTCGCCAGCGAGCCAGCCCCTCACCCTGCCCTCCCGCGTCGCAGCCCTGCAGAGACGGGCTGGAGATGGCGGTGATGGCTGTGCTCCGAGGGAGCTGGAGAGGTGCAGGCTGTGCGGCTGGGATGGGCTGTGCTTGGCTGTGGGGAACGTCCCAGGCGCAGCCACCAGCCTGGCTGTATCCGTCCCGGACCATGGCCCGGGGTCCAGGTCAGAGCATGGAGTCAGTGTTAGACACATCCCGGCGAGCCACGAGCGTGAATCCCCTACCCTGTTTATTCTGCTGCAGGCAACATCTGGTATCGGTGAAACAAACCTACCAGTACCCTGACACCCAGCCTGGGGACGAGGATGCCTTCTCCAGAGAGCCCTTTGCCATCTGGTTCCAGTCTCCAAAAACTGGTGAGACTTTTCAGAAACAAATTGTTCTCCCACTGGCGAGTCTCACGAAGCAAAACGGTGCCGGCTGGACCCGAGCACATGGTGGGGGCAGCCGAAAGGGGCCGCATCCTGACCCCACGCTGCATTTCCTTACAAGAGCAGCGTTTGCCTTTGGGGCTGCTGCCTCTGGCATCACCCACAGCTCGGTGCACGCCGCAGCCCCGTGGCCGGCAGCCCCAGGAAAGCCTCTGCCGCTGCCATGGGCAGTGGTTTGGTGGATGCGTTCCATGCCGCTGGCACGGCCCAGGAGCAGCTATTGCCGTGGGTGTCGGAGCAGGGTTTGCCTTGCCCTGACACAGAACCTCACCGTGTCGCAGCTCAGCGTCAGCTGGGCAGCTGATGGGGAGCGCTGTGCAATTACACAGCAAACGCCTCTGATCCACAGCCAGAACAGAAGCTGTTTCTTCTTCAGAAAAACCTTCTTGCTTCCAAGTCGATCTCTGTTTCTTTGTGATTCAGTGTGGTTTAACCACTGCATTTTTTCCTGTTCTTTTGCCTTGTTTTTAAGCTGTCAAAGAGTTTGCTATAATCCCTCTGCACACCACACCAGAGACAGCAGTACGGGAGATTGATGAGCTCTATGATGTCTATTTAGACATAAAAAAGCGCTGGAAAACTGAGGTTAGTTGACACATCTACGTTACTAACAGTGGCTTTGGTACCAAGTCACCTGGCACGCTATTTGCTATTCACAGCCCGATAACCTTAAAACCGTTGATAACAAGCCCCAGATTTTGAGTATCTTTTTGACATATTTTCATTGAGTTCTCCACATTTTAATCAGTAAACTTGATCTCCCGATAAAACTGCTGTTTTATCAGCATGCCTTGGTGGTGCGCCCAGCAGAAAGGAGAAGACCCACTCAATGAGTGCTCACTGTTTGAGCTGTATGGGTTATTGGGAGCATCTGTTGACCCTAACAGCCCTTGCTGTTCTTCTTTTGAAGAGCTGTCCTCATGATTACTTTTGAAACCCTCCTACCTTTTAGAACTTCATCTTCATGGGGGACTTTAATGCTGGATGTAGCTACGTTCCCCAAAAGCAGTGGAAGAACATCCGGCTGAGGACTTACTCTGAATTCATCTGGCTAATCAGCGACAAAAATGACACAACAGTGAAGAGAAGCACAAGCTGCCCGTATGACAGGTAAAGGGTTCATTGCCAAACCGTTCCCTGTTTACGGCTGTCTCAGAAAAAAAATATATGGAAAGGTCAGTGACTGTCAGGTAAAGCAAATGTGCCTGAGGCCTTCAAAGATAAAGCAGTGTCCAGGGGGAAATGAGATCTGAATACTTCTAGTCAGGAGCACAAAGCACTTTGCAGGCTTATTGGCAAGCAGTTTTGCAGAAAGGGCAAGATTTCATGCAAGAACCAGCCGTTGCTGTGGCTTAGGTGGAGATAAATGACAGGCAGCACTTCTTATCTGCAGAGCCCTGCAGACACCCAGGCGGAAGGCGCTGCTGCCTCCTCCGTGCCGGCTTTGCGCCGTGGTTTTTGCTCTCGCATTCATAATTTGGATTGACAAATGCAAAATCCTGTTCTGCTCCGGAGGTGGAACGCCTTGCCTTCCCTGGGCACGTGGCGAGTCCTGCTGCTACCTGCAGCTCCCTCAGCAGGGGCAATAAATACATCAGCTTATTAGAGCCCAGAGTAAGTCAAGACTTAAACCTCTTGCAGAACGAGCTTTTGGATCAAAGCAGGACTTCACTGAGACTCCAGTCATTGGTGTCCTATGATGTCTGTGTCCAAAGTACAGCTTTGAACTTTGCAGCACTGTTGGGGTGGGTTTAGATACAAGTCATTAAACTTGGCTTCCAAGGCCAACACACGTCAAGGTACTTAGGTGTCTCACTCCCAAGGAAAGCAATCAGCCAAACTCAGCAGAAAGCACGTGCTGGCATCTCTAAGTAGGCAGCCCATGGGAACGGACAAACCATACGTAGCTGTGACTCCATCAGGGCCACCTCTCTGGCCACCGGCTTGGTGCAGCATGGCTGCCACTGGTCTGTCACCCCGTAGCAGCACCCTGTTCCCTTGCTCCTTGCAGGATCGTGGTCAGCGGGCAGAAGCTCGTCCATGCCGTTGTGTCACACTCTGTCAACATCTTTGATTTCCAGAAGGACTTTCAGATGACCGAGGAACAGGTAGGTGCAGCATGGCCTCCGCAGCAGTGGGGCAAGGGCTAACACAGGAGCACAAAGCCAACGGTATCCAGGCAGTCTTGAACTTGTTCTTGTCCGTAAAACCGTTGCATCCTCCCAAAGTGATGCAATGCTCGCATTGCACCTCCCCACTGCACATCCACCGCCCCGCCGCCGCGGTGAAGCCCCCTGGGGCAGGGTTTGGAAAGAGCACGGGTGGCCAGCTCCCAACCCCTCTGTGCCGTTGTCTTGCAGGCGCTGGGGGTGAGCGACCACTTCCCTGTAGAGTTTGAGTTAAAAAGAAGAGGCGGCTTCTTCAACTGGCTGAAATCGCAGTTTTCAAAGAAGAAGAGATCAAGAAAGAGCCGCCGCTTGAGCTCATGAGCGTGCTGAGTCCTCTTAGGTGGTGTGGAAATATACGGATGCCAACAGATCTTGTAGAAGACTAGTGCAGATATACTCGCAGCAAGTGCAATATTTAGTGGAAAAAAACCCCGAAATATTTGTTAAACTTCAAATATTTTGGGTAAGAAGGTGAATTAAACCTTCAGGTTATTTTCCATATTGTATGCGAAAATAAATCAGCTAGAAGCAGCATACTGGACTTACGTACTGACCCCAAATGTAAAGAGCTACTGCGAGGATAAAACACTTCTGTGTGCTTCGTCTGTAAGGGCTGAAGAGCAGGGATCTCCACGCATTCACGCGGGCTCTGGAGCTCTGCCATTCCTCTGCAGGGGCAGAGGGATTAAAAGGACTTTCTGCATCGCGCGCGCGTGTGTGTGGGTGCTTCAGAGCCGCAACCAGTGGGACACAGGTCTGTGCCTGGTGATTTGCAATGTAAAATGTTGCTGAACTTAGAATATTTGCTCGGTCTGGGTTTGAAACTGCTCACAGCACCAAGGGCTTGGGGAAAGACAGAAAGAAAAGACAGCGGGACAGGCAGTGAGAGCCCCTTTTCTGCATTAACCCAGCCAGGGAGCAGCAGGAACAGAGTATCAGCGGTTCCCAGCCCACCACCCTGCCGGCAAACCACGGGTGAGAAGTCCTGCGGATCCCAGGTCAGCGCTGCCAGCAGAGAGCGTGAGCAAAACTTAAATTAAAATCTGATTTCAGCATCCTGATGTGGAAGTGAGCTGCATCTCCCCCCCAGAAAACCTCCATGGCAGCCTAAAGTTCTCCAATGAACCAGACTTTAATGATGATTATTTAACACAGTGCTGCAGCAACGTGTTTTCTCAGCTCGGCCCACAGGCTGTATTTAGTGCAAACCAAACCCTGTCACACAGATGGCATCTGAAAAGTGGGAATAATCCAACTGTTAGTAGAGACAAATATTCATCTCCCTTCATCAAGCCCCCCCGGGTTGTCTGCTGACGGGGCAGGGAGGGCTAGCAGAAGAGATACGCTTTTAGGGGAGAAAAATAATTTGGCCTTTGCGAAACTCACTGTCTGGGGAGAAAGAATTTGAGGAAAGAAACTAAATCGAGAGGAGATTACCCCAAGGGGGAGGCGTGGAGGGCAGACAATAACTCCCCCAACTTTCAATAGCAGTTAATCTTGAAACGATACAGCATTTCATAAGCTCCCTCGGTTATACTCCAGCCAAGGCAAAAGGAGAGAAAGAGCCTGATTTAAAACAAATATTTACATTGGGGTTTTCATAGAAATGCCACTGTCTGGCTGACAGCAGCGATGGTCCATGAGAAGGCTGAAATCAATCTAAGTCTCTGGCCTCACATCTTAGTCCTACATAAGTCCCTACTCTCTTTTGGCTTTCAGAAAGAAGCAATGCACAAAGGAATAAATCACATCCCAGGAAAGCAATAATGGATATATTCAATCATTAAAAACACGTAAATATGACTAAGTTTTACTGAAAAAGCTTTGTCCTTATTTGCAACATTGAATATAATCCTTTACCCAGCATCTGAAGATAAGAGACGTGGCCAGAGAGTAGCTGCTGCAGCGGCTGCAGCCTCAGGCACGATGTTAGCGGCTGTCGGTCTGGAGACGCTGTTGCAGAGAGGCTGAGCATTTGACCGGCAGAGAGACATCTTAACGCAAAATGATGCTCCTCCGTGGAAAGCCGGACTCACTTTTGTGGGACTCAGAGCAGACAGACAGCATCTGCGCTCGGTTCATAGCGTTTGATAGGGACTGGGAGGTGTCCAAAGCTGGTACAGTCAGCATAGTTGGTCTCTATAGATATTCCCGTGTATATCCCATACGTTCATTAGACAATATTGTAAATACATCCTAAAATGTTTAACAGTTTGTCTTCTCTAGATTTTCTCACCATGAGATCATTACCCAGTTGTCCCAACTGCAAAGGGGTTTTTCAATTCTCCCAGCCTGCAGGAGCCTTGATGTATTCTGCAGCCAGAACAAAGTTTCTCTTTAGATGCGTGAGGCTTCTTGAGCTTTATTTATGATCAACCAGGAGTTTTACACTGGGAATCCGAAATGGCCTGGGGAGACTTTGTCTCATGCAAGCCAGGTCTCAGATCTGCCGGGAGAGTAACAAAGAGGCTCTTCAGAAGCTGAAAACTCCATTTCCTCCACAGCAGCCCTGGCCAGGCAAGAACACAGAGCAGATAGGGTCCAGCTGAACAAAAAGTGCTATGACCCCCCGATCCCTCAGGTTTGGGTCCTTGGGAAACCCTTCTCCAATGCAGGATGCTAAAGGCATCCTCGATTCCCACAGACTCGAGGTCTCCCAGCCCCACAGAGACCCCCCCTCCCCAGCCCCACGGGAGGTCCCTGCTGCCCTGCACTGGGGATGGAGCCAGGGCTGCCCCTCGCCCTGTGGAAACCCACACGAGGATGGTTTTTGCTGCCCTGGGGGAGTGAGTCCCTTGGCAGGGAAACCCCCAGGAACCCACAACAGCAGCCTGAGACTGGACTGCCATTTCTCCATAACCTTGATCATCTCCAGTGGCTAGGTTTGTCCATCTGCACCTTGGACTCATCTGAACAGGGCTTGTGTCCTCTTCCTGGCCTTGGCACTGCTCCTCACTAACCCCCGAGGGCCCCGACACCTGGCTGTGCCACAGGGCGAGAGACCCTTGTGCCCTGGGCAAGGCTCTGCGTACCTCCTTTTGCCTCCTTTTAGGTACTGGCAGCAGTGAGGACACAGGAGAGCTGGTCCAAAACCCCACAGGAACCCACCTGGCTTGTTCGTTTGGGGTCTGTATATCCCCAAACACACACCAACACAGCACGCACTGCGACTGAACATGCGGCACCAGGGGAACATTAAGAAATGATATATAAACCACTATCAATCAGACAAACATGCTGGATGTGCTGTTTAATGAACTGCACAGAAGGACAGGCGTCAGCAGGACTGGGAACTGTCCCCTCTCTGCATCAGGGCAAGTGTCCCCAGCTCTGGAGCCCTTTGGCACAGCAATACCCGTATGCAGCCCAGCCTCTCTTATTTGGGATTACATCCACATTTGCTTTGCTTTCCTGAAAGTTTAACTGTGCACAAATACACACAAACATGAGCAATTCAAGCCTGAACACCCTCCAAAGCTCCTGCTGCTTCTCTGCCACGTGGGCAATGGGCAGGCAGAAACAGGTGCCAAAGACAGAACTGATGGGGTTTGGGCTGGGACCCGTATGCATCCTGTGTCTGGACATACAGATGTACACAGATGTATGGCCACATACAGACGTGCAGCAAGAAATTGAGCTGCAGCCCCAAGAAAGGCTGTGTTGCGCTATTGCACAGCAGGGCCGGTAGCACTGATAGCAATATCAAAGGCAGAAAAATCAAAGAGCCTACCGGTGCAGGACTGCCGAAACCAGCAGTTGGTCCAAGCCTGGCTGCTTCACGGCTCCCTCGGCGTCTGCAGGGATCGTGGGGTGCAGCTCGGTGCCCCAGGCTGGACTTGGCCACTCACTGATTGAGCACCCGCCACGGAAAGGGACCAAGAGTGGAGCAGGGGGTCCCTGGGCAGTGCTCACATGGCACCCACGGGGAGCTTGTTTTCAATCTCCCTGTAGCACAGTGCTCAGTGGTCCCTGGTGGGGCTTTTCTCTGCCGAGCAAGCCAAGGAGTTGGAGAGCAGAAGGTGCAGACAGCAGTCATCTTTCCCCTGTCTTTATTCAAAAAGGAAAACAAATAGAAAATTCACATTTTTTTCTCTGCCTATGGGTCATTAAAAGTATTTCCACAACCTGTGTCAGCCCCTTGCTCAGGATAACGCAGGTTTCTCCCTTCTGCAAGGGCATCTCGCCACCCCGTGCTGCGGAGCCGTGCATGAGCCGTGCATGAGCCGTGCATGAGCCGTGCATGCATTAAATATTATGAGGGCACCCTCTGGTGGCACCGCTATAAATCCCAGCGTCTGGGGGTCCCGCGGTATTTAGACCCAGATTCCGCAGCACAGCCAGCAAACCCAGCTGCAGCAAAGAAACACGATTTCATCCTTAGCCGGGATCGCATAGATCTGCATCCCCGTATGTGCCTCCATACAGACCTTTTCTATTCACTCTCGAGAGCTGGCCCGCAGTTGACCCCAAAGTGTCCCTGTCTCACTGTGTCTGTAAATGAATTTTGCAACAAAAAAGTAGCACATTTTTTGGCTCCAGGCCTTTTTATTCATTGCCCACAGTTATTTAACCAGGAAACATGCTGCGATGGCCCTTACGAGACTGCCCCGCTCGCAGGCAGCGGCTCCCAGGACCAGGTGCTGGCAGGTTACACGGCACATCCACCCAGGGGACACCACCTTGGTGTCTCTTGCCATACCTGCACCAAGAGCATCAGGGTGGCTGGTTTAGACCAGCAGCAATCACAGCCTTTCCAGCCTGCCTGGCCCCTCGGGATGTCTTTCGGTGTCTCTGCATTTGCCCTTTGGCAGTTTGTACCTGGGTTTGGGAGCGATGCGATGCTGCTCTGGCACAAGTGCCACCGTCCCCTCTCTGCTGTGCCCGCCTGCGGCAGATGCCGCCGACCCCCTTCTCCGGTGCTGGGGAAACTGAGATTTGGATCGGGGACTCTTTCTGCAACCCCCGGGGCCGGGTTTAGCCCACGTTCCTCTCCACGTCCCGAGGGTTAAGTGACACAGCCTCCCCACTATCACCCGGTATAAAACTATGAACGCCTTCTCTGTGCAGTCTGGTTTTCTAGTCGGTGCGAAAAACAAGGTTAAATACTTCATGGGTCATTTTAAATATAGTGCCTCAGCTGTCGGTGTTTGCAGGGTATTTTCTGTTAGTCGGGAGACAGATTTATAGGAATTAATTTCCATATTGGCAAAGGAACCAGAAACCTTCCCTGAAAAGCTCTGCAAGCGCTGGCATTTGAGATGTGACCACTTTCTGTGCGTCTCAATTGGGAGGGGACCTGACCCCAGCCATTTTCAGTGAAG